AGTGACCTGAGAAATGTACGTTGCAGCTAATTTGCTCGGGCGGAGCATGGCTTTTCAGGCCTTGCAGCCTCGCCTTTCGTGAGGAGGGCCGACAAAGATTTTGTTCTGCATCTTGTACAGAGACAACTAAACTGATGCTTGGAGAAAATGGCCGTAGGAGCAAGGACGCTGCTAGGAGCTCCTGGCCTTACTGCTCGGAGCAAGAAGCTACTAGGAACAAAGGACGTGCCAGTCTGCTTGGGTTCATTTTCTGTGTGAAGTTCTGGCATGCCTGTAATGGATGCCACGCTTGTTTTCCTAGGTTGGAGACCGCTTCTTCCAGTGGCTGCCAGCTGCAGTCACAGGCTTTCGTGCTCATAGAAACGAAGTCTCAGGACCCCCTTGTCCTTGTATTTGTTTCAGTTTCTTCCTATTCACTCCCAACACCTGAGCTTGGGGCAAAGCTTTTTGACCAAGAAGACATCAGACTCCAAGGACCTTTGGCCACGAGAAATCCACAGATGTTCAGGTGTTTCAATGTTGAGCATACCAACCAGAGCAACCTCACGAACCTGAAGAAAGAAGTGAATGGCTTTGAGATCTTTGACGCTTTGTACAGTTGACTAAAGGATGGGCCGGATGGGCGGTGCTTTCAGGCCTTGGAGTGCGAATGTACAACACCACCGGGTTGTGGTTGGACAATGCTGATGACTTCAAATGCGCACCTTGCCAGCACACAACAGATTGAAACTGGTGCGCTGTATTCTTGTGCCTTTGTATGTTTGCTACTTTTACTTTGAAAGGTCTTGTCCAAACAACCTGGGCAATTGCTTCTTGCTTTCAAGGGAATGAAGCTGCTCTATCCTTTGCAATGGCTTCCGTGTAAAACTGGTTGTACTTCCCGCGCAAATCGCTCGTTAATTGGGTCGCCAAATCTATTCGGGGAATGACTGGATCCCAGAGAGGATGGCCCAGGTGCTTGCAACTTGTTCGGCCTCAGGGTGCCCAAGCCTCAGACTGTAGACTGCAACGTAGACAGCCTCTTTTGTAGCTTATCATTCATCGCATTCCATCGGTAATTATTATCCAGATTGAAGCCGCAGATGATTCAGGAAGATCAGACGCCGTGCCGAAACTCTCATTTTGCTTCAGCATTGCCTGTTCAAGTTAGACGGAATTGTGTTTTCCTTAGTTTTCCTGTTTTCCTGAGGCATTTCAATCAGGAACAAAGACCATCTCCCTTTGTACTGCACCCATGAGAGTTTGTCCAAGATTCAACTGAGGTATTTCAATTCTCCTCACCACTCTGGGGGCAGTCAACCCAGCATCTCCACTGGCTGTTCCCGCACCGGTACGCCCAAATCGGATGAGCGTTTGTGTGCGCATGTACTTGAATGGTTTTAACAAACAACAATACAACTTGTCAACAGAACATGTGAGTCTTCATTGCCTTTTTGTCAGCAGTTCGCAAAGATATTGATTGACCAGCTTCATTGCTTCTTAAGTTGGCTGGGTCATTTGAACCCCAGCACTGCACTGCAGCCCTTGCACTGCAGTTGTCCTTGCCATTGCTGCACCGCTCGGTGATGTCTGCGCTGGGCATCGAGGGTTCACAGGCGCTGCAATCTGAAACTTGAGTGGGTGAGACAATGAGGAACTTGTTTTGTGGACTCCCTTTATGAAAAGGAATACGCAGGGAGCTTTAGTGATACTTTAGTTTACATAATGCCAGACATTTTTGAAGCCGACAAAAAGACCCAGGCAGATGAGACATGAGCACGACAGTGCACGATACAAAAGTATACATTTTTTTTTTTAAATCTCATCCATGCGGAGCCTGGAACCGCATCTCCGGTGTCCAGGCCATTGGTCCAGAGTGCGACCCAAAGTTGGCCGTGGCATCGATCCTGATCACGGGGCCAGGAGCCTTGGACCCCACGGTCGGCGATCGGCTGTGAAGTGAAGTGCGGTGTAGCCGCACTAGATCAAGGCTCAATCCATATAGGTCTACCATGTACTGTAGTGCAATCGTAGTGACGTAGTGCATAGTCATGGTGCAAACTTTGCAACTCCGGACCACACCATTCTTTGAACGTTGTTCTGAAAGATCCGAAGATAGTTGCACTGACATGAAGGATTTCAGAGCCGCAAGAGGACATGTATTCATGCAACACAGTGAAGCGAAGACGGCTCTTCCTTCTGAGATGCATCGGTGCCTCTTTGGGCAACAGCCTCTTGAACGCCTTCCCAGCCATCTTCCGGGCGTGGCCAATGGCATGTTTCGATTTGTTTCGACTTGGAAACTTCTCAGACACTATGAGTTCAATACTGTTCAACCCGGGCAAATCCTGCGATTTGGTAGTTGTGAGATGTTGTGAGCATATTTAAGAACATTTAACATTTCAGTAATGCGTACTCAACGCAGGCAAGCTAAGGAGAAGTCTGGAAGACGTATTCCAGCCTCATGAGAAACAAAAACTGATTAATGACTTTCTGGATGACTTGCATATTTTAATACGCGCCCCGCGCCGTGACTTTCAGGATGCATATTTTCTACATTTTATGCATTTGTTATTTTTCTACGTTTCAGGTCGTCGCCGCTGGTGCGTGGGGTTGCTATGGGGTGCTCCGCACACTCCATTGGCACTGCGGGGCTCATCTCCCTCGGGGAGCGTGGGCTGGGAGCGTCGTGTTGGGTCTTTGCGGTGTCACCTACTAGTAAGTCAGGTTGTGCAAGTGGAAAAGCATGCAAGTCACTAGTCACTAGACTTTTTTTGGACCATTTTGTTTTCCTTCTCACATTTCAGAAGAGTTTCCAGGGCTTGCAAGTGGAACTGATCCCTCGAAAAGGGGCACTGGCAATGAGGCCAATGGCGCTACTTGTGAAGTCACAGACCTTTCATCTCATTTTGGTTGTCCAGGACACAGAGGCAGCGGCAATCTCCGGTGCGTCCATGTGCCTTGGTCTGCCATGTTCTGTTTGGAGGAAGAAACGACAACACAAGGGCTTTAGGAGTCGTGAGAACAGGTACAGACTCTGGAAAAAGGACGCTACTAGGGGGATGCCATCGCTTTTAGGTTGGAGGCCATTACTACTAGTAACACGGACGCTACTACTAGTAGCGAACATGGAAGAGGTGTTTTCTGACAGTTGCAGACCCTGTATTTGATGCAATGGCCTGCAACAGAAGCTCCTTTAGCTTAGCAGATGCTACTACGATGTAAGTCATGCACCGGAGGTCCATGGAGGACTGGCTTACCGTTGCTGTGTTTCTGACCCTTTGGCATCACTTGATTGATGCTTGCAATGCAGATGAGACGTGATCTTGGGAGTGAAGTTTGGGTAGAGGCTGATCATATTCGGACTATAGCCAGTCATCAATCCATGTGCCGTTCGGAGGTGCTTGGCTGGCACCATGCACACCTTGGCTGGGGGATCCAAGCCCGAGCAAGACTTCGGATGGTTGTGCTGTTGGACAGCATCCTTGTTGCAAAAACTGGATTCAACATAAGAATTATATATATATATATATGAATCTTACCAATAATTATGCATGGAGGTGCATGGACAGGTGCTTTTGGGGCTGTCATTTCTCAAACTATCTTGAATAATTCTTGAATTATATCGAATTTGCGCTAACTCTTCACTGCTGATTAGCGAGCTCAGTCAGGGTGGAAGACTTTTGCCAAATCCGTCCGTGTGGTGCAAGTTCCGGAAGCGACTAGTAGCTCTTGGCATTACTACTAGTAGCAAATAGCTACTAGTAGCTCCTGGCATCGCTACTAGGAACAAGAAGCTACTAGGAGCAAGGGCATCGCTACTAGGAACAAAGGG